GGTCAGGAGTTTGAGACCAGCCTGGCTAACATGGTGAAACCTGATCTCCACTAAAAATACAAAAATTAACTGAGCATGGCGACAGGCACCTGTAATCCAGCTACTCGGGGGGCTGAAGCATGCTTGAAACTGGAAGTTGCAGTGAGCCGAGACTGTGCCATTGCACTCCAGCCTGGGTGATAGAGTGAGACTCTGTCTCAAAAAAAAAAAAAAAGTACTTGGAGAGACCGGATAGGCCAGGAGCGGTGGCTCATGTCTGTAATCCTAGCATTTTTGGAGGCTGAGGTTGGTTGGTTACTTGAGGTCGGGGGTTAGAGACCAGCCTGACCAACATGGAGAAACCCCGTCTCTACTAAAAATACAAAATTAGCCAGTCGTGGTGGCGGGTGCCTGTAATCCCAGCTACTCAGGAGGCTGAGGTACTAGAATTGCTTGAACCTGGGAGGCGGAGGTTGCGATCAGCCGAGATCTTACCACTACACTCTAGCCTGGGCAACAAGAGCAAAACTCCATATATATATATATTTAAAAAGTATTTGAACAGCTGTGAGATACTTTTAAAGTATAATTTTAGAGTGCAGAAAGCCTTTCTGAGAATCACACAAAATCCTAAAGCCTTAAAAATAAACAATAAATTTGACTAAATATAAATAATCTGCCTGGCAAAACCACTGTAAGCAAAGTCAAAAGATAAATGAGAAATTGTGGAAAATATTTGAAATTTTTTATCATAAATGACTGCCTCATTTCCCTAATAGAGTTCCTACAAATCAATTTTTTTAAAAAGACTAACAATCTAATAAAATATTGATATAAGCAGCCAATTCATAGAGAGAAAAATACAAGTTATTATTATTATTTTTTTTAGATAGTCTCGCTCTGTAGCCCAGGCTGGAGTGCAGTGGCGTGATCTCGGCTCACTGCAACCTCTGTCTCCTGGGTTCAAGCAGTTCGCCTACCTCAGCCTCCCAAGTAGCTGGGATTACAGGCACGAGCCACCACACCCAGCTAATTTTTTTATTTTTTAAGTAGAGATGGGGTTTCACCATGTTGGCCATCTGGTCTTGAACTCCTCATCTTGTGATCTACCTGCCTTGGCCTCCCAAAGTGCTAGGATTACAGGCGTGAGCCACTGTGCCCGGCCACAAATTATTCTTAAATGAATGAAAAGAAACTAGAACTTACTCAAAAGACACACAAATTAAAAAGTAATCTGAGACAGCATTTTTCACTGGTCAGAATGGTAAAGATATAAAAGCGCAATATTATACTGTGCTGTTGATTCCGCAGAGGGACAGGCACGTTCATATACTGCTGACAGGTTTTGATGACATCCATAGGAATTAATTTGGCAATGTTTATGAAAATTTAAAGTAATGAAATTAGACCCACCAATTTTATTTCTAATAGCATCCTATAAAAATATTTGCACATGCATAAAATAATTTATATACCTAAACCTAACTAACTACAAGTTATTTACTGCTGTATTATTTGTAGTAGCAAAATTTTGGCAACAAACCTAAACGTCCACCAATAGGAACAGGTTAAATGAATTACGATATTTCCATACAATGGAATACTATGCAGTTGTTAAAAAAATGAGGATATTCTCTTTTACTGGCTTAGCATGATCTGTAATATATATTAGTAAACAAAAAGAAACAAGGTAGAGAACAGCATGAAGTATTCTACCACTTGTTGAAAATGAAAAAGATATGTATACAAATGTAATTTCTTATATATTCGTAAAATAATACCATGGACACATACCTGAGGAACTGATAATATTGGCTGTGTTTGGTGAGGGGAACTGGTTGTGTAGAGAACAGATGTGAGGAGCCTTTCACTCTGTATACCCTTATATACCCTTTGAATGTGGAATCATGACTGTATTACCTATTCAACATTAAAAATTTTTTTATTTTTTATTTTTTTAGATGGAGTGTCACTCTGTCACCTAGGCTGGAGTGCAGTAGCACAATCTTGGCTCACTGCAACCTCCGCCTCCTGAATTCAAGCGATTCTCCTGCCTCAGCCTCCTAAGTAGCTGGGAATACAGGTGCATGCCACCATGCCCGGCTATAAATTTTTTAAATAATAAAATATTGTAAAACTTATGGCTGGGCGTGGTGGCTCACACCTGTAATCTCAGCGCTTTGGGAGGCCGAGGAGGGCAGATCACCTGAGGTCAGGAGCTTGAGACCAGCCTGGCCAACATGATGAAACCCTGTCTCTACTAAAAAATACAAAAATGAGCTGGGTGTGGTGGCACATGCCTGTAATCCCAGCTACTCGAGAGGCTGAGGGAAGAGAATTGCTTGAACTCAGGAGGTGGAGGTTGCAGTGAGCCAAGATGGCACCATTGCCCTCCAGCCTGGGGGACAAGAGCAAGACTTTGTCTCAAGAAAAAAAAAAAAGAAAAATTGTAAAACTTATATATAAACTTAGAATGCCACCAATAGATAATACATTTGTTTTACTGCTCAAGAGACAGTTAACAAGAAAATCTCAATTCTGTGAAGCAAAATTTATACAGGTCACATTTTTTGACCACTGTGCAATAAAGCTACAAATGAATGCAACCTTTCCCTGTCTCTAGCACAGGCCCCAGTCCTGCCTTAACTTGGAGCCTTCAGAAGTCAACCAAATTGATCACAGAGGCCTTCTTAACTTGGTCAAGTCCCATGCTCTTTTATTCTCTCACTATAAAGTCTGTTGAGGCAAGAGACTAATTGCAAGTTCGGATTCCAATACTATGTATGTACACATTTATTTATTTATTTGAGATGGAGTCTCACTCTGTCGCCCAGGCTGGACTGCAGTCACGTGATCTTGGCTTACTGCAACCTCCACCTTCCAGGTTCAGGCGATTCTCCTACCTCAGCATCCCGAGTAGCTGGGACTACAGGCACGTGCACCACACCCAGCTAATATTTGTGTTTTTAGTAAAGATGGGGTTTAACCATGTTGGCCAGAATGGTCCTGATCTCCTGACCTTGTGATCTGCTCGCCTTGGCCTCCCAAAGTGCTGAGATTACAGGCTTGAGCCACTGCTCCTGGCTCCAATGCTCTTAAGAGCCCCATTTGAGAAAAGCTTGTTACAATACACTTTTCAAACACAACTATGTGACTGAGGCCGTGATCCATTGTTCCAGATGGAGAGAACTCAGCAAGGAGCCTAAGTACCAAAAGATTGTCCCACAATGCGTTTTCACTGCCTCTTCCCTGCTTATCAGGCAGTTCCCACAAGATGATCAAAAGGTCACTTCCCCACCTCCCTGTATCTCATAATTAGGGGAATAGAGAGTGTTTGGGAAAGAGATGCCAAGGTAGCTAGAAATGGGCTCTCAAGTATCCACAGGCAAATGCAACGCTCTTATTAGCTGTATTGGATATCTTTACCTTTTTACCTTAATACCTTAGATAAGAATAGTCATGGATGTCACAGATGTCTCATTGGTAACATAACAGATATGTTGTAAATGTTTTAGCAGACAAAACTTTTTAAGAATTGATGTGTGGCTAGGTGCAGTGACTCAACCCCTGTAATCCCAGTATTTTGGGAGGCCAAGGCGGGTGGATCACCTGAGGTCAGGAGTTCAAGACCAGCCTGGTCAACATGGTGAAACCCCCATCTCTACAAAAATATGTATATATAAACCCAAATCTAATCAAACATCTAGATGTAGCTTCCAGTTTAAAGAAAATACAGGGAATAGAGGAACAAGTTAAACAATAGCATGAAGAAATAATTGGAAAAATCCAGCATACTGGATGTTATGCCACAAAATTATTCTGGACTCATCAAAAAGACAATGTTGGGGAAAATAAGACTAGAGGCACTGTTCTAGATTAAAATAAATACAGTTTAAGACTCATAGATTTAACTGCATACAAATTTAAACTTTTGAATCACAAACAAGGACCATGGACAAATGACAAGATAAACTGGGAAAAATAAATGAAATATATTTGACAAGAAAAACTAAATGTCCATATTACATATTTCAGTTTTTACAATTGAAAAGAGAAAAAGCTGGGTGCAGTGGCTCATGCCTGTAATCCCAGCTCTTTGGGAGGCTGAGGCAGGTGGATCACTTGAGGTTCGGAGTTCAAGACCAGCCTGACCAACATGGAGAAACCCCTGTCTCTTCTAAAAATACAAAAATTAGCTGGACGTGATAGCACATGCCTGTAATCCCAGCTACCCGAGAGTCAGGCAGATTGCCTGAGGTCAGGAGTTCGAGACCAGCCTGGCCAACATGATGAAACCCTGTCTCTACTAAAAAATACAAAAATTAGCTGGGTGTGGTGGCACGCGCCTGTAGTCCCAGCTACTACGGAGGTTGAGGCAGGAGAGTAACTTGAACCCGGGAGGTGGAGGTTGCAGTGAGCCGAGATTGCCCCACTGCACTCCAGCCTGGGCAGCAACCAAAAAAAAAAAAAAAAAAAATAGCCGGGCATGGTGTCTTGCCCTGTATTCCCAGCTACTGGGGAGGCTGAGACAATAGAATCGCTTGAACCCAGGAGGTGGAGTTTCAGTGAGCTGAGATCGCACCACTGCACTCCAGCCTGGCAACAGAGAAACTCCGTCTCAAAAAAGAAGAGAGAGAGAGAAAGAAAAGCCTTTGGTGGCTCACGCCTGTAATCCTAGCACTTTGGGAGGTCGCGGTGGCTCACGCCTGTAATCCTAGCACTTTGGGAGGTCGAGGTGGGCGGATCACCTGAGATAGGGAGTTCAAGACCAGCCCGACCAACGTGAAGAAACCTCATCTCTACTAAAAATACAAAATTAGTGGAGCCTGGTGCATGCCTGTAAACCCAGCTACTCAGGAAACTGAGACAGGAGAATCGCTTGACCCCGGGAGGCGGAAGTTGCAGTGAGCCGAGATCATACCATTATTCCCCAGCCTGGGCAACAAGACCGAAACTCAAGCTCAAAAAAAAAAAAAGAAACTGAGATTTTTTTCTCCCCGTCTTTCGAAAAGAAAAAAAAGCTCCCTGGCCGGGGATCGAACCCGGGTCTCAGCAGTGAGAATGCCGAATCATAACCACTAGACCACCAGGGACCACGCTGTTATCCCTTGGCAAAACTATATTATATATGGGAAGACAGTGTTCAATTTGTTGGCTACGCCACACGCCGATTAGGGAGGACAGTCTGCTTTATTTCAAACAAATTTATAGCCAGGCGCGGTGGCGCGTGCCTGTAGTCCCAGCTACTTGGGAGGCTGAAGTGGGAGAATCGCTTGAGCCCAGGAATTCTGGGCTGTAGTGCGCTTTGCCTATCGGGTGTCTACACTAAGTTCGGCATCAATATGGTGACCTACCGGGATCGAAGAACCACCAGGTTGCCTAAGGAGGGCTGAACCGGCCGGGTCAAAAACGGAGCAGGTCAAAACTGCCGCGCTGAGCAGGTAGCCAGGGGTGATCAGGTGACCAGGATGAGTCAAGATGGAGCTGGGGTGGGGGAGGGGGAACAGATGGGAACTACTGATGAACTGGTGGAGAAGGTTGTTTACTGAAATTACAAGGAAGTTAAACTTTAAAATCGAGATTTAAAGAATAAGAGAGCTGCCCTGTCTTTACTAAAAATACAAAAAATTAGCTGGGCATGGTGGCGCCACTGGGTTTATAAAGAAAAGAGGTTTAATTAACTCACAGTTCAGCAGGGCTGGAGAAGCTTCAGGAAACCTACAATCATAGTGGAAGGGAAAGCAAATACCTTGGCCTCCCAAAGTGCTAGGATTACAGGCGTGAGCCACTGTGCCCGGCCACAAATTATTCTTAAATGAATGAAAAGAAACTAGAACTTACTCAAAAGACACACAAATTAAAAGTAAACTGAGATAGCATTTCTCACTGGTCAGAATGGTAAAGATATAAAAGCGCAATATTATACTGTGCTGTTGATTCCGCAGAGGGACAGGCACGTTCATATACTGCTGACAGGTTTTGATGACATCCATAGGAATTAATTTGGCAATGTTTATGAAAATTTAAAGTAATGAAATTAGACCCACCAATTTTATTTCTAATAGCATCCTATAAAATATTTGCACATGCATAAAATAATTTATATACCTAAACCTAACTAACTACAAGTTATTTACTGCTGTATTATTTGTAGTAGCAAAATTTTGGCAACAAACCTAAACGTCCACCAATAGGAACAGGTTAAATGAATTACGATATTTCCATACAATGGAATACTATGCAGTTGTTAAAAAAATGAGGATATTCTCTTTTACTGGCTTAGCATGATCTGTAATATATATTAGTAAACAAAAAGAAACAAGGTAGAGAACAGCATGAAGTATTCTACCACTTGTTGAAAAATGAAAAAGATATGTATACAAATGTAATTTCTTATATATTCGTAAAATAATACCATGGACACATACCTGAGGAACTGATAATATTGGCTGTGTTTGGTGAGGGGAACTGGTTGTGTAGAGAACAGATGTGAGGAGCCTTTCACTCTGTATACCCTTATATACCCTTTGAATGTGGAATCATGACTGTATTACCTATTCAACATTAAAATTTTTTTTTATTTTTTATTTTTTTAGATGGAGTGTCACTCTGTCACCTAGGCTGGAGTGCAGTAGCACAATCTTGGCTCACTGCAACCTCCGCCTCCTGAATTCAAGCGATTCTCCTGCCTCAGCCTCCTAAGTAGCTGGGAATACAGGTGCATGCCACCATGTCCGGCTATAAATTTTTTAAATAATAAAATATTGTAAAACTTATGGCTGGGCGTGGTGGCTCACACCTGTAATCTCAGCGCTTTGGGAGGCCGAGGCGGGCAGATCATCTGAGGTCAGGAGTTCGAGACCGGCCTGGCCAACATGATGAAACCCTGTCTCTTCTAAAAATACAAAAATTAGCTGGACGTGTTGGCACATGCCTGTAATCCCAGCTACCTGAGAGTCTGAGACAGGAGAATTGCTTTAACCCAGGAGGCAGAGGTTGGGTGATCCAAGATCATGCCATTGCCCTCCAGCCTGGGCAACAAGAGCAAAACTCTGTCTCAGAATAAATAAACAAGAGCAAAACTCTGTCTCAAAATAAATAAATAAATAGGCCGGGTGCAGTGGCTCACGCCTGTAATCCCAGTACTTTGGGAGGCTGAGGCAGGTGGATTACGAGGTCAGGAGATAGAGGAGATAGAGACCATCCTGACTAGACAGTGAAACCCTGTCTCTTATAAAAGTACAAAAAATTAGCCAGGCATGGTGGCACGTGCTTATAGTCCCAGCTACTCAGGAGGCCAAGATCTGCTCCACTGCACTCCAGCCTGGGTGACAGATACTCCATCTCAAAAAAAATAAAATTAGCCGGGCGTGGTGGCACATGTCTCCTGTAATCCCAGCTACTTGGGAGGCTAAAGCAGGAGAATTGCTTGAACCCAGGAGGAAGAGGCTGCAGTGAGTGGCGGTCGTGCCACTGCACTCCAGCCTGGGCGACAGAGTGAGACTGTCTCAAAAACAAACAAACAAACAAAAACAAAAAACAAATCCCTTAATGACTTGTAATCATACTATTTGGGAAGTAAGGGTGTGACTAGAAAGTCTCCTTTCAGTCTACTTACTTTTGTCTCAAAAGAAATGCAGGAAAATAGTTTCGTCTGTATGTCTCTTCTTCATTCCTGGACTATGTGCTACCTTAGGCAAATTCTTAAATACATTGGTACAGTGGGAATAATAACTACCTTGAAGGGCTGTTGGAAGGAGAAGAGACACTGTAAAGTGCCCAGTACTGTGTTAGGCATTTAATAGCTTCTTAATATATAGTAGCTATTGTTACTTTTCACTCTAACTCATTTTGCACTAGTTTTAAACTGCTACTGTTCTTTTTTCAGGTGACATGATCCTTTTCTTCGTGTGTGTGTGTGTGTATGTGTGTGTGTGTGTTACTGTGCTTTATGCATAATTGCTTAAAACTAGAAATAACCTCGTTATGGGTTGAGTTGTATCCCCACAAAATATGTGGAAATCCTAACCCCCACAACCTCAGAATATAACCTTATTTGAACATAGGGTCATTCAATTTATTATTTACTCATACTGGAGTAGAGTGGGCCCCTAATCTAATATGATTGGTGTCCTTACAACAAGAGGAAGAGGCCAGGTGAGGTGGTTCACACCTGTAATCCCTTTGGGAGGCCAAGGTGGGCAGATCATGAGGTCAGGAGTTCGAAATCAGCCTGGCCAACATGGTGAAACCTGTCTCTACAAAAAATACCAAAAAATATTAGCTGGGCATGATTACAGGTGCCTGTAATCCCAGCTACTCAGGAGGCTGAAGCAGGAGAATCACTTGAACCCGGGAGGCAGAGGTTGCAGTGAGCCAAGTTGGCACCACTGCACTCCAGCCTGGGCAACAGAGCGAGACTCTGTCTCAAAAAAAAAAAAAAAAAGAAGAGGAAGATTTGGACATAGATTCGCACAGAGGGAAGACAGATGTGAAGACACACTAAGGAAGATAGCCCTGTGACTCCAGAGGCAGAGATTAGAGTGATGCATCTACAAACTAAGGAATGCCAAGGAGTGTCAGCTAACACTAGATGCTAGAAAGAGGAAGGCCAGCCGCAGTGACTCACGCCTGTAATCCCATCGCTTTAGGAGGCTGAGGTGGAAAGATCACCTGAGGTCAGGAGTTCAAGACCAGCCTGGCCAACATGGTGAAACCCTGTCTCTACTAAAACTACAAAAATTCGCTGGGCATGGTGGCGCATGCCTGTCATCCCAGCTACTTGGGAGGCTGAGGCAGGAGAATCACTTGAACCTGGGAGGCAGAGATTGCAGTGAGCCGAGATCATGCCACTGTACTCCAGCCTGGGTGACAGAACAAGACTCTATCTCAAAAAAAAAAGAAAAAGTCAAGGAGGTTCTCCTCTACAGGTTTCAGAGGGAGCATGACCCTGCTGACATCTTGATTTAGGACTTCTGGCCTCCGTAACTATGAGAAAATACATTTCTATTGTTTTAAGCCACCCAGTTTTTGGTATTTGTTACAGTATTTCCTAGGAAACTAATACGAACCCTAATATTCTTCAATAGGTGCATGTAGAACAAACTGGTACATCCATACAATGAACTATACCACGGGTGAATCTGAAAGACATTATGCTGAGTGAAAGAGGCCAGTCTCCAGAGGTTACATCCTGTATGATTCCATTTACATGACATTCAGTTAAAGGCAAATCAGGCCAGGCGTGGTGGCTCACGCCTGTAATCCCAGCACTTTGGGAGGCTGAGGAGGGTGAATCACAAGGTTAGGAGTTCGAGACCACCTTGGACAAAATAGTGAAACCCCCATCTCTACTAAAAATACAAAAAGTTAGCTGGGTGTGGTGGTGGGCTCCTGTAATCCCAGCTACTCCAGAGGCTGAGTCAGGAGAATCGTTTGAACCCAGGAGGTGGAGGCTGCATTGAGCCGAGATCGTGCCGCTGCACTCCAGCCTGGGCAACAGTGCAAGACTCAGTGTCAAAAAAAAAAAAAAAAGGCAAATCCATAGGGAAGGAAAATTGATCAGTGTTTGCCAGAGGTTGGGATGGGTTGATGGTTTAATTAGAAAGGGGAAGCATGAGGGAAATTTTGAGATTGTGGTGATGGTTACCTAAATCTATGCATGTGTTAAAACTCATGGAATTGTTTATCCACAAAGAGTAATTTCCTGGTGTGTCAATTTAGATTTTTTTTTTGACGGAGTTTTGCTATTATTGCCTAGGCTGGAGTGTAGTGGCACAGTCTCGACTCACTGGAACCTCTGCCTCCCGGGTTCAAGCCATTCTCCTGTCTCAGTGTCCCGAGTAGCTGGGACTACAGGTGCCCACCACCACACCTGGCTAATTTTGTAACTTTAGTAGAGACGAGGTTTCTCCACATTGGTCAGGCTGGTCTTGAATTCCCGACCTCGGGTGATCCACCTGCCTCAGCCTCCCAAAGTGCTGGGATTATAGGTGTGAGCCACCATGCCTGGCCAATTTAGATATTTTTAAAAATGAAAACACACACACACACACACAAATAATTTTCTTCTAAAAAATACTTTAAAAGAAAT